ATAGTTATTTAACAAATACCACATGAGGACAGTGACTGTTTTTTACTGCCTTCACTACAGCTAATAGGGTAATAGGCTTGTGCACTCTTCAATAAAATCAGACATATTTGTAGGAATTCAGCATTCAACTACAAGCATTTTTATAATGTTTTTTTTAAAGACAGCTAGAGAGGAAATTATCATAAAACAAAATGTTAGTTAACAAATCATGCATACTGGAACATGTCTTTTATAGATGAATGTGTAATTTTAATTTATATTTTTAATGAACTGTGACCTGTAATCTAAAAGCTTTTTTTTTTTCTTTGATAAGACATATTAAAAAAGAAAATCCATAAATACAGTTCCAACCTGGATAATAATGACTGAGAAAGTGATTTCAATCTGTAAAGAGAAGTTATTAGGTGCATAAAATATTGGTATGTGATAATAAACCCAATGAAGGATTACTCTTTCTATTATATTTTGAATGTTTTCAAAATTCATTTATTTTATAATTACCAATATATATACTTTAAAGTGTAGCTGCTTGTAAAAAAAAATAATTTTATATATATATATATATATATATATATATATATAAATAGGTGAAACTCAAAAAAATTAGAATGTCGTGCAAAAGTTCATTTATTTCAGTAATGCAACTTAAAAGGTGAAACTAATATATGAAATAGACTCATTCCATGCAAAGCAAGATAGTTCAAGCCGTGATTTGTCATAATTGTGATGATTATGGCTTACAGCTCATGAAAACCCCAAATCCACAATCTCAGAAAATTAGAATATTGTGAAAAGGTGCAATATTCTAGGCTCAAAGTGTCCCACTGTAATCAGCTAATTAAGCCATAACACCTGCAAAGGGTTCCTGAGCCTTTAAATGGTCTCTCAATCTGGTTCTCAATCTGGTTCAGTAGGAATCACAATCATGGGAAAGACTGCTGACCTGACAGTTGTGCAGAAAACCATCATTGACACCCTCCATAAGGAGGGAAAGCCTCAAAAGGTAATTGCAAAAGAAGTTGGATGTTCCCAAAGTGCTGTATCAAAGCACATTAATAGAAAGTTATGTGGAAGGGAAAAGTGTGGAAGAAAAAGGTGCACGAGCAGCAGGGATGACCGCAGCCTGGAGAGGATTGTCAGGAAAAGGCCATTCAAAAGTGTTGGGGACTTTCACAAGGAGTGGACTGAGGCTGGAGTCAGTGCATCAAGAGCCACCACACACAAATGGATCCTGGACATGGGCTTCAAATGTCGTATTCCTCTTGTCAAGCCGCTCCTGAACAACAAACAACGTCAGAAGCGTCTTACCTGGGCTAAAGGAAAACAGACCTGGTCTGTGGCTCAGTGGTCCAAAGTCCTTTTTTCTGATGAGAGCAACTTTTGCATCTCATTTGGAAACCAAGGACCCAGAGTATGGAGGAAGAATGGAGAGGTACACACTGAAAGATGCTTGAAGTCCAGTGTGAAGTTTCCACAGTCTGTGTTGATTTGGGGAGCCATGTCATCTGCTGGTGTTGGTCCACTGTGCTTCATTAAGTCCAGGGTCAACGCAGCCGTCTACCAGGAGATTTTGGAGCACTTCATGCTTCCTTCCGCATGGGGATGCTGACTTCATTTTCCAGCAGGACTTGGCACCTGCCCACACTGCCAAAAGCACCAAAACCTGGTTCAATGACCGTGGCATTACTGTGCTTGATTGGCCAGCAAAACTCGCCTGACCTGAACCCCATAGAGAGTCTATGGGGCATTGCCAAGAGAAAGATGAGAGACATGAGACCGAGCAATGCAGAAGAGCTGAAGGCCGCTATTGAAGCATCCTGGTCTTCCATAACACCTCAGCAGTGCCACAGGCTGATAGCTTCCATGCCACGCCGCATTGAGGCAGTAATTGCTGCAAAAGGGGCCCAAACCAAGTATTGAGTACATATGCATGCTTATACTATTCAGAACTCCGATATTGTTCTATGTACAATCCTTGTTTTATTGATTGCATGTAATATTCTAATTTTCTGAGATTGTGGATTTGGGTTTTCATGAGCTGTAAGCCATAATCATCACAATTATGACAAATCATGGCTTGAACTATCTTGCTTTGCATGTAATAAGTCTATCTCATATATTAGTTTCACCTTTTATGTTGCTTTACTGAAATAAATGAACTTTTGCACGATATTCTAATTTTTCGAGTTTCACCTGTATATATATATGTATATATATATATATATATATATATATATATATATATATATATATATATATATATATATGGAAGAGGAAGCAGTGGTACTGCTGACGGGACAGCATTGGATTGAGAGAGGTAAGTGTTTAGGTGTGTGTGTGTTTGGGGGGGGGGGGGGGGGGGGGGGTCGGCTAAAAGATTGTTTACCTTAATGTAGGGTAAAAACCACTTTAAAGGCTCAATTTATTGTAAAAGCATGTCTCCAATAATATGTGGCTCAGGAACTGGTCAAATTAATCATTCTTTGAGACATCTGTCCATTGAAATGTAGCAATTAATTTCTATTCTGGAGGAATATGTTTTCGCTTTTAAGTATCTTGGTCAGAAATCAGAAGTAACACAGCTTGTAGCAGTTCAATGAGATATACATCATAACAATTATACAAATAACAGCAGATATCATTAAGACTAGTATTAATGATAGTACTCTCAGATTAAAGGGCTTAAAACTCTTTAACAGCCACTTTTTAACTTAAACATTTCTTCTCTTCTGGTTTCGATTCTGTAATTCAAGAACTACAGATGCACTGTTTTCATTGAAGAAAAACACCTTTGTGTGTGGTTGAGTGTGTCAGCACTAATGACTGTTTCTCATACCACATACTACCCTTTGAAAAAAGCTGCTGACTATAAAATCACCTTTTCTATTAAAATGTATAGTCAAGTAGGGAACCTAAAAATACAGTATATAATTTCCTTAATGTATTTCCTGAACCTGGAAGCATTAATTAGCTTTTAACACTATTTAGCGTTCTATAATGTCAAAAATGTAAACAAGAGGCACTAAAACTGTTATATTTAAATTAAATTTAGCTAGCTTATTCTCTCTGAGTATAGGCCTACACCAGTTTGGTTTTAGTTTTATAAAACATACAAAAACAGTATTTATTGCTCCAGGACAGCTAAGAATGCCGCATACAGTTTGTTGCTCATGGATGAGATGGTTATTTGTGTTTAACTGTGATTATAATGAAAAAGCTTGAACATTTCTATACAAAAAAAAATCAGCAAACTGCATTATTGCTCTGTGTAGCAATTTGGTCTTCTACCATCTGATCCTACCATCTGGCTAACTAAGGACAAAACACTGAATATGATGTACCTGCTGTAGCATACAGTGCAACAGCTGCTACAGTAATTTTCTTGGCCTGTTCACTTTCCATAACAATAAACTCAGAATATATTTTTGAATGTTTTAGTGTGTTTCAGTCCAAACGTTTACTTTACTATTCATTCATTATGTAGAACAATAAAGGCATAGCTGTTGTATAATTAAACACAAAAAAAATGTGAGTTTGCATGAGTTACTTTGTGAAGGTTTTTGTCATCCAGGTCATTGGATATCTATTTGAAGTAAGCATATGTAAACTTAAAGCTGTACTAAACTCCGCTTTTGAACTTGTACCTACAGGTAAGCCTATTATAAGACTTAGCTGTAAGTACAGTGAATATCTCCTAAACTTCAGAGCTCTGTGCCACAGCCATGACTTCCATGCACATGCGCATGAGTGACAACATTGTGGCTCAGCCATTCTAAGAACTCGAACCTGGAAGGAAGACCAGGTGAATATGGAAGCTTTGTCAGCGGTAACAGCGTGCCACTGTATGGCTTTGTTTTAAGGTAAGTATGCCATAATGTGCTAATATGCAGTGCATACTAGCACATGTTTTGTTTTGTTTTTTAATGAGAAAGTTTACTACCGCTTTAGAGACATTTCTGTAAGCATCTAAAGAGCTTTGTGGGTAAAAGGTTGAAAGCAACTGATATCTATCAAAATATCACAACAATGATCACAACTCTAAATAAAATATTTCCTGGGCAGAGTGAACATAAAAAATCCTGCCTAGAAATGCTAAAGGGTACATGCAGGGGCAGACTGACCATTTGGAAACTCGGGCACTGCCCAAGGGCCCGGGGTCAGTAGGGGGCCCCATGAGATGCCCCTGGTACCTTTTTCATAGGCTTTTTTGAGTTTGGGCAAGGACACAGGGGCCCCATGAGTTGTCAGTCCGCCCCTGGGTACATGTATTATATCTTGTTGGCAAAAATCTTTCTCCACATGCATTGGTCATATGATTTTATTGACCTTTGGTATATTTTATTAAAAAAAACTTGTAATAAAGATTAAGACACTTAATAACCCATAGATATTTTGTCTTTTCTGCCTATAAAATCCCAGGGAGGGTGTTTTGTTTTTTTGCAATTATCACAACTCTTATAATTATGCTAACTATACTATACTAACTTCCATCCCACCCGCCACAAGTACAAACACACACGCACATGCACACACCAAAAATCAGTCAAACCAATTTTCTGGATCAAAATATTGCTCTTTTAGCATTTAATAATTTTAGCCACTTCAAGTCCGAACACTTTCACCCCCAATTTTCATCTTTCAGCACTGTCACACTTTGAATGATAGTTATGCAACACTATACCCAAATTACATTTTTATCATTTTTTTTCACACAAATTGAACTTTCTTTTGGTGGTATTTGATCACCACTGGGTTTTATAAATGAAAAAATACCAAACATTTTGAAAAAAAAAAACCTTTTTAGGATTAGTGTTTGTTATAAATTTTGCAAATGAATAATTTTTCTTCATAAATTCAGGCCAAAGTGTATTCTGCTACATTTTTTTGGTAAAAATAACTAAAAAAAGTGTATATTATTTAGTCTGTGTGAAAGGTATAGAGTCTACCAACTATGGAATATACAGTATATCAGTTGAGACCCTAAATGTCCGAACAAAGGTATGATGTATAGCAGTGTTCAGGACGTTGAAATGAGTTATGGTGGTTATCAGATCATTGGTATGAGGTGATCAAGACACTGGTATGGCAGTGATAAGGACGCTGGTATGAGGTATAGCATTGATCAGGACACTGGTATGGGGTATGGCAGTGATCATGACATTGGTACGGGGTATGACAATGATCTGGACACTGGTATGACATATGGAGTGATCAGAATGCTGGTATGAGGTATAGCAGTGATCAGGATGCTGGTATGGGGTATGGCGGTGATCAGGACGCTGGTATGGCATATGGGGTGATCAGAATGCTGGTATGAGGTATGACGGTGATCAGGATGCTGGCATGGTGTATAGTGGTGATCAGGGTGCTGGCATGGCCTATGGTGGTGATCAGGGCACTGGTATGGTGTATGGCAGTGATCAGGACACTGGTATGGCATATGGCGGTGATCATGGCACTGGTATGGGGTATGGCAGTGATCAGAATGCTAGCATGGCGGTGATCAGGACATTGGTATGTTGTATGGCGGTGTTTTTGTGAGCACTGTGACAGGTGAAAGGGCTGGCTGCATTTTTTATTATGATTACACTGGCGCAGTGATCAGGGCCATTGGGGCAGTGATCAGGGAGACTGGGACTGACTGGTACTGCAGTCTGTGAGTGTACAAGCATCCTGACAGGCTGCTGTACACTCACAGGCTGCAGCATCACATCTCTCTGATCTCAAAGTGAGAGCAGAGAGAACCGATCTTTACTTTCACATGGCATTGTTTACTATGTGATTACTGTGATTGGACACAGCAATCACATGGTACAATACCATGTGACCAGCTGGACACAGCTGCACTGATCACCAGGCTCCTGGGTGACCGCTCTGTGACTCGCGCAGGATCCTCTGATGCAGGCTGACATACATGTAGATTAGCCCACATTGGTGCTGCTTCCCATCCACCGTATATAAGCAATGGGCAGATGAGAAGCAGTTAAATATGGTTAATACTGGTTGCAATACTTTTTTCAATTCTATATTTGTTTGGCATTACATCTTCTCTTAGTAATTCATTTAACAATTCACACACACAGCATCTGCAGTGTCTGCAATTTAAAATATATTAATAGTGATATAAATAAACCGGAATAAGCACCAGGTCTGATGCTTCTAGTTCTTCCTATTAGTGGGTTTTATGTTTTGACAAGGCTTACCTATGTTCTTAACCGGTTCCCGCCCAGCCTATTGTACAAAGGCGGTCGGCCAAACAGCTCGTCCCTCTGGGAGGACGCCATATGGCGTCCTCCTGGTTACGACCCCAGAGTTCGCCCCCGGCGGCGCGCATCCCTGATGCAGGTAAACAGCCAATGAAATTGGCTGTTTACCCTGTGATTGGCTGTATCCTATCACAAGTATAAACAAACAGTGGTAACTTGCTGTTACCGCTTCTCCTCCTCACACACGGATCCTGTGTGAGGAGGAGAACAGTGAGTTACAGCTATCAGTACTGTGCACCACACTACCGATTGCCTTCACATTGCCATGATTGCCTGTCACAGCTGCCCATCAGTGTACCTGTCACAGCTGCCCATCAACCTACCTGTTTCCAGCCCATCAACCTACCTGTCACCAGCCCATCAACCTACCTGTTGCCAGCCCACCAACCTACCTTTCGCCAGCCCATCAGTGTACCTTTTGCAAGCCCATCAGTGTACCTGCCGCCAGCCCATCAGCATTCCTGGTACCTGTCGCCAGTCGATCAGCGTACCTGTCGCCAGTCAGTCAGTGTACCATCATGTACCTGTCAGCTAAGGCCATCAGTGTACCTGTCATACAATCCATTACGTACCTGTCAGCACAGCCCATCAGTGTACCTGTCATTTAACCCATCATGTACCTGTCAGCACAGCCCATCGGTGTACCTGTCATGCAGTCTGTCAGCAGAGCCCATCAGCATAGCTGTCAGCAGAGCCCATCAGTGTACCTGTCAGCAGCCCATCATTGTACCTGTCAGCACATCCATAAGGGAAGCCTATCAGTTCACCTGTCAGCGCATACACCTGTGCAGCCTGTCAGTGTACCTGTCATCAGTACGGATGACAGCAGCGGGGAGCTCTCACCAATCGATATTGATTTGGATTATGAGCCAATAGAAAGCAGAGGATCGGTGACTGAATCGGAAGAGTAAGCAGTCCCTCCAAAAAGAGTAAGATGCTCTGAAGACCAGGCAACCTACGAGCAACGTTGAATGTACCAATGCCATTACACCCAACCATGGTTCAGTCAGCAAACGCCAATGGGAGCTAGACCCCAGGATGATAGGCCCTGTAGTACCAGCACTGAGAATATCACTCCAGACCCCAAGAGTAAATAGGGCCAGGGGCAAACATACCTCCCAGACACTTGGCAAACCACTCTGAGACTGCTTTCCAGCTCAGGATCAGCTACCATACCACCCTTTTTTACCGCACCAACCAGGTGTGCAGCCCAAACACAGAAATTATTTCCCCAATTGATTTTTTTAATTTTATTTTTTCCTGATAATTTCCTTCAATTAATTGTAGATCAGATTAAGAAACCTATTTGCCAACAATATATCACAGATAACTCCAATTCATGTTATGCCACATCCACTTTGAGTGGAAGACGGCTAACAGTGGAGGAGTTGAAAGTGTTTTGGGGCCTTACGACGATCAATATGGGGCGGCATTGCACAAAAAATTTAATTATCATTCATATTGGTCCACCACACCTGTACCTATCAACAATTCCCATCTTTTTCAACTGTAATATCCAGGTCACATGTATGACATTGATTGTGCGCTTCTTGCATTTCAGTGCATAATTCCCATTGCCCTTCCGAGATCAGCCAGGCGATGACAAAGTATAAATTATGCGCCGCATAATTTAATTTTTTTTCTTCTACCAAATAATGTTTTGAAAATTTATGGTCCCTGACCCAATATATCAGTTGTGGATGAATCTCAAAGCAATATTATTCCCAGTAAAAGGGCCAGCCCAGGTTATGAACCTGAAGCTTCAGAACAAGCTCTGTGTGAAAGTTGCCTACGAGATATGTGCATGCCTTTCACGTGTGTATAAAGGCAAAGACTCCTCCAGCTCCAGCCCCCTGGATTGCCTAACCTACATTGCCACAATGTGTGAAAAATTGGTCTGAGGACCTGACCTTTCATTTCTACACCTTTTTCCAAAAGGAGGTATCACATCTACCTAGGACAATTTTATTACACAAGCCTGACCTTTTCAACCACCTGTACCTTGAGAAAACGATGGCCCCGAAAGTATACCCAAAAAAAACAGGGAAAGGGTTCCCCCAAAAAAATTTAGTGAAAACAATTCTACAAAAAAGGGGGAATCTGCAAGTCTGAAAGGGTTTAGGAAAATGTTGGTCGTTTAAAAATGGAGGGGGTAGGGGAGATGGGTTTATGCCCCGGGCCACTATCCATTTAAAGGGGCACCAAAGGTGGAAAAATCATAGAAGACAAGGTCCCTCCAAAAAGGGCCCGCTTGTATCCCCATTTATAATCAATTCATGTTGGGGTTTGGGTTTAAACAAATCAAAAGGGTGCTGCAGCCATAATTTTAACCCGGGAAAAA